AATATATACGTATATGAGTAGAAACTCTAAACAAAAACAAAACAAATGAAGAGTTTTAGTTGAATCAACAGCAAGACGATTTCTCTGGCTCGGCCACAACCAGATTGAAATCCAAACTGTTTGGCCGCGCAAAGCCGGATTTGATGCCATCCCAGCCATCTTCGGCCTTGTATTCGCCGGATCGTATGCGGGCATAGACCTCCTGTGTGACCATGCGAAATGCCTCCTCGACATTGGCGCCAGTGCGCGCCGAAGTCTCTACGAAATGCAATCCGTGCTGTTTGGCAAACGTTTGCGCCTCCTCGGTGGTTACCTCACGGTGTCCTCCCGCATTCACCAGATCCAGCTTGCAACCTACGAGCGCAAAGACGGGACGATGCGGTTCGATGTGGCGCTGCGCCTCCATCATCCAGAGCGGTATGTGCTCGAAGCTGGCGTGATTCGATATATCGTACACGAGTAGCACACCAACTGAGTTGCGGTAATAGGATTTGGTTATGGAACGGAAGCGCTCCTGCCCAGCCGTGTCCCACAGCTGCAGTTTGATCTGTGTGCCGTCCTTCATCTCGATGAGGCGTGCAAAGAAGTCAACGCCCACTGTGGGATCCGAAAGCTGCGTAAAAGAAATATAAAACAAAAGATTAACTCGGGCTTCAAGTATGAATAAAATAAGACAAAAATAATGCGCACAGTCCAAGGTTGCCACACTTTTGTGCTTTTTTCCTTTTTTTGCATGCATTATCAGTTACTCACACTCACACACAGACACACTATATAGACAGCGGCTGCGACAAAGCATCTTAGCCTGTGTCTTTATTACATATATACATACATATACATATGTATATACATATATATTACTAAATGAGCCATATAATTATGTAATTATCATTGTTGCACTCTCACTTGACACACATATTAAGAGTACAATCAAGTCATTTACCTCGGCGAATTTTCCATCTGTAAAGAATTTTAAGAGTGAACTTTTGCCCACTGTGCTGTCGCCGATGAGAATTAAACGGAATTGATAATCAAAGATTGGCTCCACCATTGTGTTGCTCCACACCCCACTCCGCTACAATAGTTTTGGGTGTTACAGTTATTTGTTGCTGTTGTTGTACGCTTTTGTCCCTCTCGTTTGTTGATATTTTGCGTCTTAAACTCAAATTCACTTCACGTCCTTTTTTAGCTAGAGACGCTGTTTCTAAACACACCCACAATAGCAGCCGAAAATTTACTGATATTTTCTCTGCAATTCGAACGAACAATATTCTTTAAATAAACAACAATTATATTGTTTATTGAATTTAAGTAACTCAGCTGCTGAGTTTTGTTTGTTTTTTTTTTTTTCTAACGCACATCAATCGTATGTGTATGTGTGTGCGTGGGCTGGTTTCAGGGCTGGCAAAGGAGTACAATGCGCCCGCAAGTACTCACAAGCAAAGTGGCAGCGCCAAAGAAAATTCAAATCTATCATCGATTTAAGCTGAGCCTTCAGGTATTCAAGATCTTGTTATATGAAGATATGTAAAATGTAGAATGTAGACGCAAATATTTAAACCTACAACAGCTGCAGCTGCTTTTGAAAAGTTAAAATCAAATATTAACGAAGTTTCAATCTATCGATATACATTCAGTTGTTTCAGCTACCATCACTAGCTGTCACATTTGACAATAGTACGTTTTATTTCGGCTTTATTTTTATATTGTTTTTACTTTGGCATTACACAAATGTACAATAACAGACGGGTACCAATATCAAGCAAAATTTGCGCCAATACAATTAACACAGAACGCGAAACGGCGCACGAAAACTAGGAGCAGCTGTTAGCTGTCAACTGTTCCATACACCCGATCAACGTGTGCGCCTAAGGTTATCGAACAAACCAAGATATATATATATAAACATATATATATATACATATAGATGTTAAAATTTGTGCTGCACGACGCCGTTGGCTATGTGCGCAGTAATGTGCGTGAATTCAGTCTTAACGCGCTGCGGCTGCTTCCCCAATTGCCACAGTTAAGCCCCTACGATGTAAGTATCGATCTGCGGAGCTATCGATCAATCAATCAATCAATTCTAACTGTTGTTGCCGTTGCGCCCCCAGGTAAACATTACCCTGAAAGAGAACGAGTTTGTGTACAACTTCCCGGTGGAGGGCATCATACGCAGCTATGAAACAAATCAGCTCGGCTCCAATTCCCCCTGCGAGGATTCGCGCACCGAGGCCAGTCTCTTGCATCGGAACGGCTTCATCTGCGGCATCTTCGATGGGCATGCGGGCGCTGCCTGCGGCCAGGTTGTGTCGAAGCGACTCTTGCGCTACATTTCGGCTGCGACGCTGCCGCGCCAAGTGCTGCGCGAGCAGATGAAGCAGGAATGCACCAGTCAATCCTTTCTCAAGTGTCACAACGACAAAGTGGATTTTGTGAGTGAGATTCGGCCCCTGTATGAGCAGAGCTTTCAGCGCTATATTAAGCGGCTAAGTGGGGAGCCGTCGCGGGATGTGGCCAGCGAGCTGGAGCAGGCGTTTATCCAGCTGGACTCCGATTTGTCCGAGGAGGCGCTAGGCAGCAACGATGCGCGCACAATGGGCGTGGCGCTGTCGGGTGAGTTGCAGACAGACATGGGAAGAAATGCGAGGAGCAGCTGACATTCTCTCTGGTTTACGTTGCAGGTGCCGTCGCCTGCCTGGTGCATCTGGAAGGGTTGCAACTGCACGTGGCCAGCACTGGGGACTGCGGCGCTGTGCTGGGCGTGCTCGACCCAGAGACGAATCAATGGCACCCCAAGAAGCTCAACATCGAGCACAACGTGGAGAACATGACGGAGGTGAGCCGCATTCTCGGCGAGCATCCGCAGGAGGAGCGCGAAACGGTGATACGCAATGGACGGCTGCTCAGCCAGCTGGCGCCGTTGCGCGCTTTCGGCGACTTTCGCTACAAATGGCCATTGGAGACGCTACACAAGAAGGTGGTGCCCATGTTCGGCGAACAGGTGCTGCCGCCCAACTACTATACGCCACCGTACCTGACCGCCCGGCCCGATGTGCAACAGCACGAGCTGTGCTCGAACGACAAGTTTCTAGTCATTGCCAGCGATGGCCTCTGGGACTTCTTGACGCCCAGCGAAGTAGTCAGCCTTGTGGGCGAGCACATCAACTCGAAGAAGATACTGGAGCCGATGCGACTGCCGCCGGGCGATGTCAAGCTGCAGCAGATCTCCGAGCAATTGGCGGAGCGAAAGTAAGGAAATTATATATGCATTTCATTTATATGAACTTCTCTAATTGGAGCATCTCTTTGTGCACTCCAGAGCGGGTCTAACACGCAAACCCATTGATCAGAATGCTGCGACGCACTTGATACGCCATGCGCTGGGCGCCACAGATTATGGTATTGAGCACTCGAAGATCTCGTATTATCTGTCGTTGCCACAGGATGTGGTGCGTCTGTATCGGGACGACATAACCATCACCGTCATCTTCTTCAACTCGGAGCACATTGCCAGGCTGAAGGGCGAGTCGCTACCAACGCCATCTCCACCGACCACCACCACGCAGGCGCCTGCGGCGTGAGCGAATTAGCCAGTTGAAAGCTAAAGAACTCCATCTACAACTAGTTGCAATCCTATCCTAATGAGTCTATGCCCCCTACGAATATTGTTCTCGTCTATATATTTCGATGGCCAGCAGTCATTGATCTTGTAGCCCCTTAAATTTCTAGTTTAAGCTTCGTTTATTTCGCCAACATATATTTTTCGATTCTCTCGCCCAAATCTAAATAAATTGTTGTTGTTGTCGTTAATCGCGCCAATGTGCCAGGACCTTGGCCAAATGCCAATAAAATTTGCAAAGCTAATAACCCTTAAGTTTGCTATGAAAACTGTTTTCTAGTTAGTTCAAATACATATATTATTTAAATAAATTGTACGGCATAAGTGAAATATTTTCAACTGTAATTATGTTGTGAGAGTTGAAAGTAGAAATAGATGATGGGACTAAAAGGCAATTAACTGGCCAAAGCTAGCTGAGGGCCTTAGCAATACTATACCTTATAGTATACCAATATCCCATTCATGTAGATCGTGAATATATATACTTTGTGGCCATAAAAATGTCTCCAAATGGCAGTAAAATGAGATTTAATAGCAGCGAGCATATTCAGCTTACTGTTAATATTAACAGTGGCGTGCGTGTTATTAACAGTGCTGTTAAAAAGTGCACGGGAAATGGAAGAGCTTTGAGTGTGAGAGCGACAGAGAGAGAGAGAGACAGCGATAGAGAGCTGGGACTGCAACTGGATTGAAAAGGTAAGAGGTAAATGAATTTCGCCTTGTTTGTTTATATATTTATAATTTGAACTGTTTTCCTTTTTCTATTTTTTATTTTTTTGCTTTTTTCGGGAATCGATTAGTTTATTTTACAATTATATTCATTACACTTGAAGTTCGTACAGACTAAGTTCTTTATACTTAGAGCCTATTTATTTATTTATTTTTTTGTTTTTTTTGGGAAAATTTACGATTAAAACATACGATTATACAGATAGACATATATATGCAAATAATCTGCACATATATATGGTATATGGAAGTTAAAGCGAGGCTAAAGCTACAGACAAACACTTACAGAAGAGAAAAATAGAATTTCAACTGGGCTGGGGGCAGGCGTTAATAATTTGTAGTTTTTGTTTTTGTTTTTTGTTTGGCTAGGGGAACTACTAAAAAAAAAAGTCTAAATAATCAAGCATATATATGTATATGTATATAGCTCTGCACATATGGGCTGTCTATATCTATGAATGCATATGCAACTAGTCCTTGGCATCCTGCTCGGCCGTCTCCTGCCTGCTGACACAGTTGAGGAATTCCATTTGAATGTGTGTGATCTGCGTCTTGCTAAAATATTGCATTTTTTTCTTGAGAAAATCGAAGAACAAATCGAGCTCGTCGCGCTTAATGCGCGCCTGCGCGAACTGCTGCTGCTCCTCGTCCTTGATCAGTGTGCTGCTCGAGGCGGCCACGCTGATAGAGGCGGAGGAGGAGCCGCCGACGACGTTATTTTGATTGCCCGGACAGCTCAGCGGTGGCAGCTGCAGTATGGTCGTCGCCCCATTATATGGCGTATTTGTTGATGTATTGCACAGTGTGGCAGCTGCTGCTGCCGCTGCGGCCGCTGCCGCAGCTGAAGCTGTTCCTTGTTGTGGCTGCACCCCCGCTGCCGCCGTCGCGCCCGCCGGCAGTGTGGTGCTCACCGTGGCCGCATTCAACGCCACGGCTGGCGTGCTGGATATGGTGACACTGGTGCTCGTCGCCTCGGTGACGTCGACGAGCGCTATTTGCTGGGTGCTGGCTGCTTCGTGGCAGCGCTGGCTGCTCGAGGCCGAGCCCGATGTGGATGCCGCCGCCGCAGCTGCTGTGGTCGTCACGAGTGTGAGATTCTTGAGCTTGGTGTCGGCCGTGATGACGCTGCCGCCGCCAGCCAAAACGCTGTTCGTGGCCGTGGCGCTGCTCACCAAGTGGTGAGAATGTTGCTGATGCTGTGTATGTGTGTGTGTGTGGGTGTGTGCGTGCGCATGATGCGCTGTTGCACGCAGCGGCACACTCACCGTGGTGCGTGTCTCTGGCTCCGGTTCGATGTCCTCTATGCAGAACTCGTCAGCATCAATGTAATGGAAGCCTTTGCTGTCGACCACATCGCTGCTGCCGTCGACGCCCAGCTCGCAGTGCGTGCCACTCGCCTCCTCGTACAGACAGACCTCCTCGTAATCAACCTCAGCTGCTGTGGCGCCATCCTCGTCCAGCTCATGCTTGACAATGTCGACCACCTGTCCGTCATGGTCCACCACATCATCGTCGTCCAACTCATCGTCGACCACGTCATCGTCATCGTGAGTGATTTGTGACAGCTCAATGCTGGACATGCTGCCGTCGTGCTGCTGCTGATGATGATGGTGATGCTGCTGCTGCTGCTGCTGATGCTGCTGCTGCTGTTGGTGATGATTGTGCTGATGATGCTGCTGTTGTTGCTGATGATGGTGTTGCTGTGGCATGGCCATTCTGTGCGCATTGTGATGGTGATGCACCGTATCATCAGCCACGCTCTCCTCATAGGCGGTCATTATGAACGCCTCGGTCTCATCGCTGACGAGCGTTATCTGTGAGGAGGACAGGGCCGTTGTATCCGAATGTTCATCTTCATCGATAATGTCATGCTCCACATCGTGGTCATGCTCGACGCCACCAACACCACCATCAACAATATTATCCTCATCCTCGTCGTCATCCTCATCATCCGGCTGCTTCTTGATCTGCACCATGGCGGCCAGCGCATTGCGATGCGCTTTCAATTTGGGCTGATACACCTTCGATAGGAAGTCCAGCTGCTTGGCATATCGCCACTTGGACAAGCGTCCCTCTATGCACTTGGGCGAACGGCGACGATACTGATGGTACGTATCCCTCAGGTTTTTCCACTTGCGTCGCACCTCCTGCACGCTGTACTTGTCTGTAAAAAGTTGCTCAATTAAAGCATCCAAATATATGTGTATATATGTAAATAAGTGCGGTCTTAGCCAACTACTGCTACTCACTGCCCATTTGCTGAGATACCTCCTGCCATCCGCTCAATATGTCCGGGCGTCGTCGCTGATTCGGCTGCAGCTTGTAGTTATATAGAGCCGGATTCTGGCGCACCAGATTGATAAGCGTGATAATATCGTCCGTGGGCGCATTGTCCTTGTGATAACGCTTGCGCTCCGACATGCTGTCTGTGTGTGTGCGTATGAGTGTATGCGTGTACGTGTACGTTGGATATGTGTATGCGTGTGTGCCACTGTATATGTATATATATCTTTGTATTAGCTTGTTGCTGCTGCTGTTGCTCGTATTATTTCACTGACAGCTGCGCTCAGGGAAGTCACAGGCAAATGTTATTGTTTACACCTTTTGCGTGTAATTGCGTTTATTATTCAATTTCGGTCATCAGATTCCTCTCTCTTTCTCGCTGTGTGTTCAATTGATAAATGGTCTGGCATGCCAAGACACTTGGCTTGCGCGTACGTGTGCTCCAGGCCAGCCAAAATGCACACAGAATTCAACATTTAATGCACACACGTTTCTTGCACACACCGTATGGGTAGCCACGAATTGGCCATGTTTAATTACGCAGAAAAAAACAAAACTTTTGGATAGAAATTTTTTTGGGCTACTCAGCGTTGCCGTACTGTGTTTGTGTATGCTGTGGCCAAGAGAAGCGGTTAGTGTTGCCAGAGGGCTGAAGCGGAATAATACCAGCCCTAAATACTATCGTTACCATAGCACCTATCGCATTATTAGTCTTGCGGCTAGAAACATCGTTGCAGCGGCAATCGATGCACCTTCGACCCGACAAGACACACACTTCTGTGAAGCTACAATATAGTATTATAGAAACGTTAATCGTAAATAAATGTGAAATCTCAATTTCTTACCGCTAACTGCATAAGTTAGTGACTGCAGGCAACGTAGTATCGGCAGACCAGAATGTCAAACATCGCTGCAGCCGTAATCGATGCATTTCTGTACCTAGTCAAACTGTCATCACTAGTTTTATTTCTGCATTCGCTTTGCCATTTTGGCTGCCAACAATTTTTCCATCATTTCCCAAATTGTTGAGTTAAAATGAGCACACCCACCAAAAACAATGGCACTGGCTTAGAGGATGTTAATATACCCGGTCAAGCGTTCCTGCGCGAGGCGCTCACTTCCTGCACAGATCCGCTGAAGGCCATCGAAAGTTTCCAGGTTTGTTTACCTCGGATAAAAAGAAAAAGGGCGCGAAAATTTTAATTGCATATCAATTACACTCGGCAGTTGGAGAATGGCGTCTTGTTGCCGTCGTTGCGCCCCATGCTGCCACTATTGGACTTGCATGGCGTTCGTCGTCTAGACTTTCACACCTCGCTCATGGAGGAGCTGCGCGACAAGCTGATCGCGCACATCAACGATCTTGGCCAGAAAGAGCCTCGCGAGCGTGACAAGAAGCTCAAGGAGCTGCTGGTCAAAAGCTTCCCCGTGGTGCGCGTCAAGTCACTGCGTCCCGTCGTCATGGCCATCTTGCGGAACACCCAGCACATCGATGACAAATACTTGCGAATCTTGGTGCGCGATCGTGAGCTCTATGCAGACACGGACACCGAGGTCAAGCGTCAAATATGGCGCGACAACCAGTCGCTGTTCGGTGACGAGGTGTCGCCACTGCTGTCCCAGTACATTCGCGAGAAGGAGCACATTCTCTTCGACCACACGAATCTCAACAATTTGTTCTTTCAGCCCACGCCCAAGGTGCGCAGGCAGGGCGAGGTTGTCCAGAAGCTGGCCAACATGATCGGCACCAGTGTCAAGCTCTACGACATGGTTTTACAGTTTCTGCGCACGCTCTTCCTGCGCACACGCAACGTTCACTATTGCACACTGCGCGCTGAGCTGCTGATGGCGCTGCACGATCTGGAAGTGCAAGAGATCATCTCGATAGATCCGTGCCACAAATTCACCTGGTGTCTGGATGCCTGTATCAGAGAGAAGAATGTGGACATTAAGCGCTCGCGCGAACTGCAGGGCTTCCTCGACAACATCAAGCGTGGCCAGGAGCAGGTGCTGGGCGATCTGTCGATGACCCTGTGCGATCCCTATGCCATTAACTTCTTGGCCACCTCGGTCATTAAGATACTACAGCATCTGATCAACAACGAGGGCATGCCCAGGGATAATCCGATATTGATTCTATTGCTGCGCATGCTGGCACTCGGCCTCAGCGCTTGGGTCATGATCGATTCGCAGGACTTCAAGGAGCCCAAGCTCGACGCCCAGGTGGTGACCAAGTTTCTGCCGGCTCTCATGTCGCTTATGGTCGACGATCAGTGCCGCAGTCTGCACGGCAAGCTGCCGCCCGACGAGCGCGAGTCTGCCTTGACCACCATCGAGCATTCGGGTCCTGCTCCAGAAGCTGTCGAGACCTACATTCAGGAGAGCTCGGTCTCCAGCATTCTGGCTATGTATTACACGCTGCACACAGCTCGCACCAAAGATCGCGTGGGCGTGCTGCGCGTGCTGGCCATTCTGTCAGGCTGCAAGGACGATCGGGCCTACGAGGATCCCTTCCTGCACTCGTTGATCGCGCTGCTCATACCCATGAGCGATGAGTTCGGCACCGAAGACTTTTGCACCACACTCTTCGATGAGTTCATCTTTGCCGGCCTCACGCGTGAGAATGTGACATCGCGGCACATGCTGAAGCTGCTCTGGTATGTCCACAACAAGCTGCCCGCTGGCCGCTTGGCGACCCTAATGAAGGCCATGCAGCCGACCACGGCGCACAACGAGCACATTCACAAGCTCTACGAGTCGCTGCAGGAGCGCATTGGCTCGGTGCCCGCTGGGCCATTGCAGCCGCCAGAGCCAGTAGCCGCAGCAGAAGGAGCAGCTGCAGCTGCCGTTGGAGCTGGCCCGGTGCCTGGGCCTGGGCCAGGGCCAGGGCCTGGCGTTGCAGCAGCAGGAACCCCAGCAGCAGCATCAGCAGCAGCAACTGGCATAGCAGCAACAGTTATACAGGCAACACCTGCTGCTGTAGCTGCGACTGAATTCGACTCGCCCATGAAGAATCTGGGCACTCCGGGTCCGCACTATAGTCCCCAATAGCCGGAAGCATTGGCAGCAGCAGCTGCTGGTCCCGCTCCTGCTACTGCTGCTGCCCCAACATCTGCGCCAGCCTCAACACTGGGCTAAGTCGCTTGGTCTAGTCAGCTGTATAAACAGTTAACGAAATCTAATCGAAAACTAAGCCATAGATTTCTTCGATACACTCATTGTGTCCATATATACGATAGAAGCTTGTCAGCCAAAGCTTTGTAAATAGCCCCGAATTAGTTTTTAGTTATATGTGTCTATATAGAAGCTATCCAAAGCTCCAAATATTGCTAACCATGGAGTAGATATATAAACATAAATATTTATATCCTAAGCTATGATATAGCTATAAAGCAAAGATTATTTTGTCACATTTGTCTAAGAATAGATGTATGTCTATATCAGTATAGTCATGATATATATTCACTATTTAACAGATCTTGTATGTCTATAAGATAACCCACCAAATATCTAATAATAATGCATGTAATATACATATATGTCCAGATATCTGTTAATTTTATGTAAACAATGTCTATATATGTAAATATTATAATCCATAGAGACATAAACATAAATACTTGAATAATTAGCTAAGTGTCCAAATATACATATATATACATATACAACTCTATATAGTTCCAGGAATATATATRTATATTCCATATAAACTATGAGAATTAAGAAATATTCAGTTCATCATTCCACCTATATTAACTTATTACAAATCTGTTTGAGATCAGAGATGATCCCATCAAATGGTTCCAAAACTCTGCCTGGAAATGTTCATATTTAGTATATATACTAAATAAACTATATACTAAATATGCGCTAATAACTCGTAAGCAACTAAGTCACATGCAATGCATTTAAGCACAAAGTAACTTAACTTAAATTGTTCAACTATAACATATCCTATAATAATAAATATATATAACATAACCTCAAACAAAATATACATACGTATATACTTACATATTCAAATACTATTCAAATCATATGCCATCTAATAATACGATAAACAACAACTTTTTAACTCAACTCAAAGCACTCGACTTTAAGATCAGATCTCTTACCACATATGGAACACAACATAACCTCAAATAGAGTAGAGTGAGTTTCAAGTTGTTTTACGATGTTTTGCACACTAATTGATGTCTATTAAGGTAACCCTATATGCTCCATAAGAAATTCAACTTTAACTTAAGCTTAAAATCACACATACACATAAATGTATACATATGTCAATACCCGGATATATCATATGTATATCGGTTATATGGATATTTGCATTTTGACTACATCTACTTCAATGAAATTGAAATTTTTATAAGTGTCTATAACTATATGAATAAATGTACGTGTTGGTGTCTATCTAGCCAAAAATGAGCGAAGACTCTTTGATTGATTGATGGATGATAAACCTACGAGAACTGTTGGGAAATTGAATTCGATGATGAGCAACTTATTATATAGTAGAAAGTTAGCTCTATCTCTATGAGGTTTTGACCATTGTTTATATTTTATTTTATCAATTGGCGGATTGATCAACTGATTGATGATCAACATAGAGACTATCGGTAAAGCTCTATACTATTTTATTAGATGCAAGACAAAGCTACGGATATATAATATAAAAGATAAGCTATATAAGATTCTAGAAAACTTTTTACCAATAGTCAGATAGATTGATTGACTCATTGATTAATGGGCCCAGCTGTATTGATCGACTGATTGATTCATGAGTGTGGGATCAAAATTAGTGCTATGGTGGATAAATACCTTAGTGTATAGCTTTTTCGATATGAAACAAGATTTAGAATATGTTGCCTCTGTCTATAGATAGATTAATTGATTGATGATCAAAGTAGAACTTGAAGAGTTACAGTAAGAAATCAAATATTCATAGAGAATTTCGCTTCAAAGAACTCATATTTCATATAGTAACTGTATGCCTAGATTTACAATCTAGATTTCCAGAAGCTTTTAATATTATTCCATTCAATTGAGACATCAAATGATTGATTGAGCTCATTTATAGCTTATCAAGTACAGCAGAGAGAGGGTGTTAAAAGGCTTCTTAAACCAGGTCGAACACCTGCTCCCCAGCTAATAGAAACGCCGAGCTTGTATGCTTATCAAAATAGTGACCATTATATTAAAAACTTTCGCATTTATCGCTTACAATTAGTTGACATAATCTGTGAATGGAATATCAGTGGCAGACCAGAACAAATATATAATAAAAAGAAAAGAAAAACAATCAAATGAATGGATAAATATAAGAACAGTACATCGCTGATCGGGTGCTTGGGCAGACATCTAACACAACTAACACTCAATTCTTGTCCGTTTCGAGGTCGGGTAACGTGGGCTCTGGCGTTGAGGACGACGCTGGCTGTGAGGACGACGATGATTCCGTCTCACAGCCGTCCGGCTCGGCACTCTTGCGATCCGAGTCAGACTGAGCGGGCGGCTGCGGCGGCGGCGGCGGTGACGATGGCTCCGCTGTGAGCAGCTTCTCGATGGCAGCCGCCGCAGCGGCTGCTCCTCGGGTGCGCGTGCACGGCGATGAGGGCAGTGGATAGGTGAGCGTTGAGGAGGATTGCGGCGCCGGCGCATCGATCACGAAATTCTCCTCGTTCAGCTTGTACACCTCCAGGTATTCGTTGTATATGTGCTCCCACTGGGTGTGCGGCTTCAGGGACTCCAGGACGCACTGCATCAGTTCGTGCTTCGGCACACACTGCGGGAAGAGAAAGAAAGCGGATTGCGGATTAGACTGAATTTATTTCAGTTTCGTGTGGGCTTAACTATAAGAGGCTGCCATTGAATCGTCTAGAGAATTGTTTAGAAAGCTTTCTCCTGAGTATAAGCAACTCCAATCGAAGCTTAATGAAGGCATAACATTCAAGCAGTTTCTACAAGGAGTCACCTCTCAAGGCTCTCATCCCTTATTCAGCTATTCACCTGCGTTAGCTCCGGGTCCCTGTTGAGCAGGCCATCCAAGAATAATCGTAATCGCTTCTCGGTGCCATAGGTGGCCAGCTGGAAGGTGAGCATGACGTGCCAATGCTTCAGTTCCTCAATGGCCTCCATGGCCTCGCACAGTTTTATTTGATTCTCCAGGAAGAGCACCTTGGCCGTTTGCTGCCAGCTCTCCGGATCGCTAGAACACAATTGAGATTAGCTATGGAACGTAGAGTTAGATCAACTGCAAGCTCACATTTCGACAGGTCCGCGCAGGCTGAGATAGTTCTGTGTGCTGGCCTGCATGCTGAGCAGCGGGAACTTGCGATTCACGTGCTCCAGATCGCGCGGCAGCGAGCCACGAATGCCGTTGAACATGATGGCGTCGCCCGTGGCCAGGACCAGCCAGGACTTTAGGGTGGTGGAATAGGAGTAGGAATTGCCGCTGGGAAAGCCAATCAGGGGCATGCCCTGGTCCGTGATGGCAAACTGCAGCGCCATGCCGTGCTTGGTCAGCAGCTCCAGGCAGTTGGTGGCCACTCGAATGCGTCGCTTGGTTATGTGCCAGATCCTCAAGAGGCCGCACTCGGTGAGGACGCCCACCATCTGATTGTCCGGACTGAAGGTGCAGTGTACGGCCACGCTGTTCAATGAGATGGCCGGAAAGATGGGACAGCCGGTCGGCATGGCCAACAGCCGCATGCTGCCGTCCAGCGAGCAGAGCATCACATATTTGCTGCACAGATTCACGTTGATCACGGGCGACCCCACATACATCTCCCAGAGCTGTTCGCGGCTCAGCTGCGCCGTCACCTTGGCGACCATGCCGTAGCCCGTCTTCAGATGCCCGTTCTGCACATGGATGCGATAGTCCTGCGCGGATTTGGTGAACTCGCACTTGCTATTCGCCGTGATCTGCATCTTCGGTCCGAGCGTATTGCTGCTATTCGAATCGCTGAGCAACTGCATCGAATTGCGACGCGGTGCAATCGCTGCTGTCGCCGTCGCCGCCGGGGGCAACATCAGGCGTCCCACTGGCTCTGGCCGTGTGAACAACGGCTCTGGCATCAGTGGCTCCACCCCGCTCACGGCATTCGTTGTGCCCGCTCCGGCAATACCCAGGCCATGGTTCCCACTGTTGGTGCTATTGCTGTTGCTGAAAGAAACGGAGAATAGGTTAGCTGTGAGCTTGGATTGGGCTAGAGGAGAGCTAGAGCTAGAGATCTTGATTCCTGATTTCTGCTAGCCATGATCTATATTTGCTGCTCTTCAATGAGTTGCTTCGGGGCTAATTCTTCATCTGAAAGACTCTCCAAGCTAGCTGGCTGTCTTCTTCTTATTATTATTATCATTTCAYAGGTGATTCCAATGGCCTGGTTTTGCTGCACTTACTCCCAGGAGGCTGAATCGTAGACTTTCCCAGCTAGCTAGATTTTTCTTCTGCTTCGTCTTCTTCTGATTCTTCTTCTTTTTATCTTTCTCTTGCTTATTGATAAAATCTTTGACTTTCCCAGCTAGTCAGATTCTTCTTCTTCTACTGTTTTTTTCTCTTTTTTTATTCTTCTGCTTCCTTTCCTTCTCTTTAAACGTTTTCTTATCTCAAAGTTCAGTTCCGATTGCCTGACTGTGATGCACTTGCTCTGGCTTCGTCTTCTTCTTCTTCTTCATCTCCGTTCTAACTTCAGCATTCCACAGTCAACTCCAACTGCTAGCCTATGATGCACTTGCTCTATTTTGAAATTCATGGAGTTAGCTAGATGTCCGCTCTAGAAAGGATTACTATGCAGTTGTCACCTGCTTCATTCGTGTTCTCCCTATAATCGCCTCTCAAGCGGCTCCTCTCAGCATCTTCATCATCAATTGCCTCTGGCTGTTAATTATAGACGCTGCCCACCTGTTGCTTTGGATGGCGTTGCTGCCGGTGCCGATGCTGCTGCTGGATATACTGCTGCTGCCCATGCTCGAAATGGGCTCTGAGAGATCGTTGAGCGGTATGAACATGGGTGTGATGCGTCGCTTGCCATCTTTGGTTCGCGTCTCTGTCTGTTTGCTAATGGCACGCGC